ACACACACACACACACACACAGAATTTGTAGTTCCAACCTATCATACATAGCTTTCTGATACCTACCACACATACACACACACACACACACACAAACACACACACTCACACACACACACACACCAGAGCACCAATCAACCAAACATTCACTCACTGATTCACTCACTCACGCACGCACACTCTCATACACATGCACACACACATACACATCCAGATTAGTTAATAATAATGACTTATCATACTTTTTCCCATTTTCATCCTATTTTGTTGTTATGTGACTTTTTATTCTTCCCATTTTCATCCTACATGTACTTATACTTTTTTTTTTTTCATCCCATTTTACCATTACACGAAGAGTGGTTCGACTAATCATTTTCCCTTTTTCTTCCTCCTCAGGGCAAAGAGGGAGATCCTGGCTCACCCGGACCTGAGGGACCTCTAGGACCTATGGTAAGTTTTAACCCTATCCGTACGTCCTGGGGGCATTTTGTACCCCCGGGGTTGTATTCTTCACATTTTAGAATACTTCTGGTACAAAGATCTGCGTTTTTTGCATCTGTCTTACAATTTTAAAAGTTTTTGTAAGAGTTTTACGAGTTCTGATTGTTTATCAAATGCCTCTACAACACACCTGCGTTTTCTGCATCTGTCTTACAATTTGAAAAGTTTTGGTAAGAGTTTTACGAGGCGTCACTAGAGAGAAACATGCAGAGAAGAGTAGGAGGAGAGAGTACAGGGCAATAACTGTTTAACACTTTACCGCCCCATCTCGCTGATCGGCGATGTTTACCACCCACTTTCTTTTGATTTTCCCCAAAATATGAGGGCAAAGTGTTGACAGGAAAGAAAGAGCCCCATGAAACATACACCATATGAGCCATATAAATGCAATTATTATTTTCGTTTATTATCTTTATTATTAGGCTATTATAATTATGTTTATAAGGAAAGAAAGAACGCCATGAAGCATACACAATATGAGCCATATAAATGCAATTATTATTTTCGTTTATTATCTTTATTATTAGGCTATTATAATTATGTTTATTAGGAAAGAAAGAGCCCCATGAAGCATACACAATATGAGCCATATAAATGCAATTATTACTTTCGTTTGTTATCTTTATTATTAGGCTATTATAATTATGTTTATTAGGAAAGAAAGAGCCCCATGAAGCATACACAATATAAGCTATATAAATGCAATTATTATTATTTGCGTTTATTTTTTGTATAATTATTATAATTCCTCTTCTTCTCCTTCTGTGTGCAGGGAGACAAGGGAGCTGTTGGACCAGCTGGACCTGCCGGACCTATCGGAATGGCTGTGAGTTTGTCTGTCCACCTTTTTTATTTAGTACTTTCTTACTTTTACTTTTTCATCCTCTGTTGCCGTTAAGCGGCGACAGAAGATGCCGTTTTCTATGGCAGGTCAACTCCGCAGCTCTTTCAGTTGTAATATTATGTTTTTTCAGGGTTTCCTTGACGCCCTCGATCCAGTTTTTGCGTGTCCTTACTCTTCTTTTATAGCCTAAGTGCTAAAAATCTATTATATGTGGGATGGTTCCCATTCCTGGGTCAATTTGAGGCAAAATTTGTGACATATGGATGGATGTAATCTTGTCAAAAGAAACTACACCTCCTATAAAAGTTCACTGCTAAAGAAATGCTTTCTTATCCAGTGATAATCTCAATGAAAAATCTTAGTATCAGCCTATCTTTAATAGTTTTGTATCTTTTCATCTTTTAAAATTTTAAAAATTACCTTAGCTTCCCTTGTTTCAACTAATCGTATCTTTAAAAAAAAATGTTATATCTGATCTCATATATCTAACTTTTGTTTCTAATTATCTCATCTTTGATAGCAATCTTCCTATTCTCTTTTTTCATTCCATATCTCGTCAATATTCTTTTTTCTTATCCCATATATCTTTCCTCAGTTAACCTAATCCTATCAAAGGTAATTTGGTTAAGATTTTGCAAACAGTCACAGTATTTTTGTGTAGGCCTATGATAAAAGTTCCAAGCTCAAAGATTACTCTATTTTGATGCTGTATAATATTAGGACGAAGTCTGTGAATTAAAATTGTGAAATGTTAAAGGCATGATGAGTTTGTGATAACAAAAAGTCATAAATTCATCTGGGTGGGTGGAGGGGGTAGGGGGTGGAGGGTGATTGGGGGTTGGGGGTTGAATGTCATTTCAAATGTGAAAGTTTTTTTGTCGTTATGTAAATACTCTCTAAAATGTAAAGAAAATTCTATGGGTTTTATTCTCACAAACTCTGAATATCTCACATCGGCAAACAGTCGGAAGATATTTTTAACATCTTTACCAAGCTTAGCGCTGTGGATACCCCCAAAGGAAAAACAAGATGCATATTCAAGGACTTGTGGCTGGATTCAATCATTTTCAGGTGATGCTGCGATGAGATTACAGGTGTATCAGATCCCAAAGAACAAACAAGAGGTGTACCAGGTGACCCTAAAAAAACCTTTACCCAAGGAGATTTCTACATAGTCTTTCCCACGGATAAAGGTTTTTTTGGGGTCAGAAAGTATTCAGACATTTCCAGCTGGGTGGAACCAGAGAGGGTTTACAGTAATACTAGTAGTATTGCTGTAAACTCTCTGGTGGAACTGTGGCATGTATTTCTAAATTTTTTCAAGCCAGTTTGAAGTGAAAGTGAGATATCTTTTGTGTCTGTTTTTTTTACAGGGACCTGTTGGAACCCCAGGATCTCAGGGCAAGAGAGGCGAGAAAGGAAACTCTGTGAGTCGGACTTGTTGTTGATGGTTTTCTCCTTGTTTGTCTGTGGTTTTCTGTTGTAGGGTTGTATTTAATTCTATGGAGATGGTTCCAATTTCTGGGTCAGTTTATGGCAACATCTGTGACATTTATTGAGATGTAATCTGCTCACTGAAAAATTGTACACTGCTAATGTAATTATGTTTTGTTATCTTGAAATGATCTCGATAAAAAGTGTGTCTGTGTTTGTGTGTGTGTGTGTGTGTGTGTGTGTGTGTGTGTGTGTGTGTGTATGTGCGTGTGTGCGTAGGTGTGTGTGAAAATGGGGGTGGGGGGGGGTGGGGGGGGGGGTGGATGTAGAAAAATGAAAAGGGAAAATAGGAACTTTCTTTGAACTTGCTTATCTAGTGATCTTTTAAATTTAAAGAAAGAAAGAAAAAAAAAGGAAAGAAAACAGAAGAGAACAAGTAGGTGGAAAGAAAAAGATGTTTTAATCCTTTCATGTGACTTCATATACATGTATTATTTCTGGTCAGTTTTAACGCATACCTTGCTTGAGATGGTAAGGGATAATTTGGATTAGCAAAAGAACTGAGAAGGTATATATTTGGAAGTAAATAGGGACTGAGGTTGTTAATTTTACTCTGGGAATGACAGTGAAGAAATGGGAATTTCGTTTTTGAAGGAATTAATAGAGAAAGGAGTGACCACTTCAGTTTTCCGTTGTTTTGTCAAACTACCACAACATTTCTTCTCATGTTAACTTTTATATTTCCTTTCTCCTCTCCTAGGGACCTGAGGGACCTCGTGGTCTGCCCGGACCTTTGGGAGGACCTGGACCAAGAGTAAGTACCGCCATTTTTAGAAGGCGAGGTTTTTCATGTATCCAGCAGATTTTGGTTATTTTTTGTGCGTTTTTAAAGATATTTTTTCTTCTTTGCTGAGTGTTTTACGGCACTCACAGCTGCTGTATAAAGTCATATGAGAAGGAGAAGAAGAATAATAATAAATACTAAAGTGACCAAAGTAATGTAAAACTTTACGTTATGCTATCCTGTTTTTGTCAAGATGATAAGAAATTCCGTGAGGCATTTTGTTTTCAAGTTTGAGAACAGTTCATTGATATTTGATTTATTGTTTTTTTAAAGAATTGTTTGTATCTGCCTGCAAGTTTCTTGGTGGTTTCATACAGCCCTCTCATGTTTCCTGCCCCTGCTGCTTCCTCTGCCTCGCACGCTAGGTCATCTACATAGTTTCTTTTGCCTTTCCGTACGCTGACTTTTACATCCTTCATTGATTTGGTGTATTCTTCTTGGGCCTTTGCTTTGGCTGCTCTTGTCTTGCTCCTGATTACCTGATCCTTTTTCTTTTTCTTGTCTTCTATCTTCCTCAGAGAGGTTTTGATACCCTAATAGAAATAAAAAGTCAGTGTTGTTAAACCCTGTTGGTGGATTTGTTTCACAACATAATGCAAAACATATCAGTCAATATTACAACATCTCAAACTAAAACAACAGCTCACTTGGAAATACATTTAAGAGAAAAAAGTGAGCGTTGATAATAAATAGATTGACCAGCTCTGATATATTTTGGATAATTCATAATCAGCTTTTTGTCTCTTATTCTTTTACCTCACACGTTCACTTTGATCTCTTCCAGGGTTACAGAGGACCCTCTGGCCCCGTGGGACCTCCAGGAATGAACGGAGATAAGGTAACTGTGTCTGTCCGCAGAGTGAATTACACACTCACATGCACACACACACACACACACACACAAACACACACATATACACACACACACACATACACACACAAACACACACAAACACACATATACACACACATAACACACATACACTCACATAGATACACACACAAACACATAGATATGCACTCTCACACACACACACACTCTCACACACACACACTCTCACATAGATGTACACAAAAACATACATATGCACACACTCATACATCTATGCACAGACTCACACACACACACAGAAACACACACATACACACACACACACACGCACACACACACACACACACACAAACATAACACACATACACTCACATAGATACACACAAACACATACAAAAGCACTCATACACACACTCACATAGATGTATGTAAAAACATACATATGCACACACTCATACATCCATGCACACACACACACACACACACACACACACACACACACACACAAACAAATACAACAGTTTTAACAGTAAATTGGTTTTCATTCAGAATTTATATGCCCACCATTAAAGTTCAATCATTTAGAAGTTTATGAAAAAGCCATGGTTTGCTATTTTAAAAATTAGATCATTATAGTTCATTTTAAGTAAGTGTTGAATGTCTAGTGGAGAAAGTACACCTGTCTTCCTCTTTGGAAAATGGGACATTTTGACGTGTAGTGAAAAAAACAAAATTGAAGACTAAAGTTGAAAAATGATCTTCCAGATTTCAATATGCTTCATTAAGTTTAGTATAGGGTTTTATGGTGCTCGCAACTGCTTAAGGTCATATGAGCACATTGAAATCAGAGGCTCGATGAAAATGAGATTTTATTTATTCAGTAAAACAGATTAATTTAAGTGGTAAGTAACATTTACATCACGATTTTGTTTGCATTCCAGTTATACTGTGTAATACATGTGTGTGTGTGTGTGTGTGTGTGTGTGTGTGTGTGTGTGTGTGTGTGTGTATTATTATGTTACAGCTCTAGTTACAGAAGATGAAGAAGTGTGATAAGCATCATAGTATACAAACAGTTTTAATTTCTTGCATGGCTTAGGCACAGCTGCGCTGTAATTATAAAAAGAATAAGTTTCGTTGCGATTCGGCAAATTTGTTTCTAATATTTCACCTTGACCTTCATCAGGGAGATAGTGGCCCACCTGGTGAGCGTGGAGTGAAGGGCAGCTACGGAGCTCAGGTAAGGCACCAGTAGAGCTCTTTTAGGTTAACTTATTCAAGATGTTGCTGTCTTTCCTTCACCTATCCCGTCTTCACCTTCACCTATCCCATAGACTGGATGTCCGTCGGGGTGCTTTGGAAGATTTGACCACCAGATTCCTCCACTCTTTCCGGCCATCAGCTCTCCTGAGCGTGTCTTTGAGGTCCAGGCCTGTCCATTCCTTGATGTTGTCCTCCCAACTCTTCTTCGGTCTGCCTCTGCTCCTTTTTCCCTGAACGTTGCCTTGCAGAATCATCCTGGCAAAGCTGACTTTCCAACTTTAAGGGTTTTCATCTTTTAAAACAAATAAATTCTTTTGTTCTTGTTTGTTTGTTTGTTTGTTTGTTTGTTTGTTTGTTTGTTTGTTTGTGTACTTTCTTTAAAGGGGTTTATATATTTATTTAGATTCTAATTACGTTTTTCTGAGTGAATTTGTCTCAGAATATATTTCCCATACAGATTATTCTTTATCAAACGTGTTTTGTCAAAATTTGTCACTTTCTTGTTTTATTTTATTTTTGTTTTAGGATTAAATTACATAAAATGTTGTTTTTCGTAAGTATTACATAGCATAACCAATAGGATTATATTGAATTTTGTTGTGCCAATAGTATTATATTCCATAACCATCCCACTTGTTTGGAAAGCTGTGAATGATTGAATGATTCCACTGGTAGGTCCTGCTTCTTTTCTTTGTTTCTGTTTTTATTTCTTTGTCTCTGTCTCACTTTTTCCTTTACATTTAATGACAATTATGGAATAATTTTTGTTGTTATGGTTCTCTTTACCCAAACTAGATATAATGATATCTTTGAAGTATAGGTAGCCAATCTATATGGTGAAAGACAAATTTTCTGCAATGGCTAATTTAGCTGTTTTTTTCCTGAAAGTTGCAAATAATGCTGATTTATTATTTCATATACTCATATACTGGGTTTTTCCTGAAAGTTGCAAATAATGCTAATTTATTATTTCACTTGACAATAACATCCCAATCATCCTTCGTGTCATTGTTTTGTTTCAGGGACCCCCCGGACCCCAAGGACCTATTGGTCTGCAAGGACCCCCTGGACCCCCCGTGAGTTGTTGAACTGTGAAAGTTTTGTTTTTGTCGTAAGATTGTCAGATGAGTTGTATTGTTTTTGTCGTAAAGTTGTCAGACAAGTTCTATTTGTGAGGCTTGCTGACAAAATGATTTACTTGTCGCAATCCACGAATGAAGATGTCGGCCGCCGAAAATAGACACATCATCAAATTTGTTGATTTTAAGTTGATGCCATTTTCTACAAGTTTAACATGCCGTTTATCATTTCATATAATTAACTGAACAAACTCAACTTATGAATTTCCTGTATCTATCTGTGTCTATAGGAGGAAAAATCTGAGAAATAACTTATTTTGTCAGCACACCTTACATTTGTTTGTGTGTCTGGCATAGGAACAGACTCAGTGAGAGTATTTGCTTCCTCTACCTTCAGTGTACGCTCAATAAGAAGAATGCTGGGAGTTTGTTGAACTCTGTTTTGAGAACAATATTCTGGCCGGACATATTGAGAAAGTTCAATAAGGTCATTTGCTGATGAAAGTTAAGGAAATGAACAGTAAAACATAACGACCGTAAAAATACTATTAATAAACTGGAGGAATGGAGATCAAACTGTATGCATGAAAATTTGGTCAAGAAAGTAAACTATTGACGCAAAAAAATAAGACTTTTTCTCTTAACAAAGTGATATGTGTTGAAAAAAATAATAAATGAAGAATTACAATCCATTTTGAGTTCACTGTTTCATCAACCCTGTAAAAAATAATAATTGTGAAAATTCCCCACAGGGACAAAAGTGTCATCATTAAACTTTTCTCTTTATTCATTCATCTTTTTATTTCCAAACTCAAAGCCTTCCAGTAAATAACAATCTTTATTGGTGGAAATCTATAAATTCACCTCTCTGTGAAAGGTGGACCTCTCAAGAAAGGGGAGATGAATTTCACTTATGTTTTTATTGTCCATATTTTGTCCATTTTTTTTTTTTTTATGGTTAATTCCCCCCAGCCTGACTCAGCCCAGTGACAGAAATATGCAATGTTTGACCCATGAGAAGAGATATGTGCACAATCTGTGCATTTTCATTATGGAAACTTTATTGAATAAATGAGTGTTTTATATGGTGTGATGTGGGCCAGTGGCCTTAGCACTTACAATACCGATGGCTCATATTATAGTGACGACGAACCCAAGGGTACCGCACCAGTTAAGAACGCTGAAGCCGTGGTAGAATTTTTTTTAATTAGAAAAACTTTGGCAGCCCAAGAAACACGCTTTAAAAATTCCTAGAGGTTCATCAACCATTCAGCTATCATATGAAGTGACTTCCTTTGGTATTTACTTCAGTGCAGTGCGTCCATTTGTCGTTTAATTATGTTTAGTGTGCCTGGTTACGTCGGCGACTAAAGTCACCAGTGGCACTGTAAGAATTAAACACTGAAATAAACTGACTTATTTCCTTTTTGCTCCCAGGGTGCACCAGGCGAGAAGGGACCACGTGGTCTGCAAGGACCTCTGGGCTCAAAGGTCAGGAACTGTAACTTTACTGTTATGCTGCGTGTTTGTGTGTGGGTGTTTGTGTGTGTGTGTTTGTGTGTGTGTGTGTGTGTGTGTGTGTGTGTTTGTGTGTTTGTGTGTGTTTGTGTGTGTGTGTGTGTGTTTGTGTGTGTGCATGTGTGTGTGTGTGTGTTTGTGTTT